GGTGGAGACATTTAAAACAGGACATTTAGAAACTGGGTGGCACTAGGACTAAGCTTGGGAGAGGGGAGAAACACCATGCAGAACCAAGGTTGCCCACGTCCTCTTCAAAATCCCTTTCCCTTTCTAAGGCTTAGTCCCAAGTACTGCAAGTGGATCACTCACTTCGATGTCCCCTTCATCAACATGAGCGCCTAGAAGACATTCGATGAATAGGTTTGAGGAAGATGTCAGACACAGCGAGTTGAGCTTGCAGGTGGGTCTAGCAGTCTGCATGGTAGTACTATGACCCTCCTTACAGATTTTTTATTGAGTATTCTGACCTAGCCGATTCATGGAGAGGTTCTTGACGACGAAGAGAGGGTCACTCTTCAGGCTTTTAGATTTCCTCATTTTCATTTTTTAGTGAAGTGCTCTTGAATAGTATCTTTGGACCTGCTCAACTGTTACAACCCAAAACCCCCGAAGCGTTTTCTGGCGCTATCATCAAGAACCTCTTTCACATTTGTTATCAGGGTACCAATTTCCCCTGCAGTAGAAGCTCAAAACCAGTTTTATTGTGTGGCGGAGGGTTGCATTACTACAAAAGACACATTTTACGGAGAAAAGATGTTTTTTCTTTCCCTTGGTTCTCCATGGTGTTTCTCCCCTCTCCTAGGCTTAGTCCTAGTGCCACCCGGTTTCTAATGTCCTGTTTTAAATGTCCCCACCCCTAAGGAAAGGACCGTCTAATATTCACTGGGACTGCCATGAGTGCATACCTTACCCTACCCCTCCAACGTTTCCAGCCCATTTCTACGCGCCTCCCAACTACTATCCCGTTCCATAGACCTCCGTAGCAGCATGACATACCCATCCTTTTGGTGAGAAACCTTCACCGCTTGCTGTGAAGGCAGAGGGACAGAAGAAAACAGCAAAACCCATTAATTCTCACCGTCTCCAACCGACTATTCTTAAAAACCGCAATTGAATCGATTAAATGCCTGAGTGTAAGAAGAGAGACATGCACTTTGGGACTTCTGCCACTGTTTCCAGCAAAATAGGTTTTGCAAAAGAAACATGAAAGAGAATGTATGACCCGGACATTTAACCCCGAATTCTGTGTTACCTAGGGGGAGACCTTAAGGTTCCAAACTCTAATCCTTGTTGCATTCCATACACAACCAAAGATCGATCTGTTTCGATTAAAACCTATGAAATGCGCCACCCATTTGTCCTTAATCGTAACAAAAACAGCATTCACAAGGAAAATTTCGCTCGTAAAATGCCTTGGGGAAATCACCCTTTGTTCAGTTGGCAAAACCGCTCCGTAGAGAGGTAAACCCTGTTGGTCCAGGCCGAATTCAGCCCGTCGAAATTGCACAAATGACGAAAACGCTTCTTGCATTACACGATTTCTGCCCATATCCCCAATATGGAACAAATCGATGGAAAAGAAGCCATAGATGATACAGCTCATAAATAAATGACTAAGTCGGAGGAAAGTGACGAAGGCGTGAAACCAAGCGATGCTACAGCGATGCAGATCGTAGCGCATGAAACGACGACGACAAGTCATCGTTGTTAGGGGACGGCGCAAAAAGTGTGAGTGTCGAGATAACATGAAGTGACGCACGCCGCCGCAATCGCGCACAGTTTATTCGATACTGCTCGAAGCCGGAAATAGATCTTCGACAAGCGAAAACGCACGAAAAGGAATAAGTATTCCAGTTATAGCGTTCAAGGATTATTAGTGTCAACTAGTCCCGTAACCAGTAGTACAGTTGTACTAGGTGTTATGCGACACCAGTAAGGTCGAATATTATTTCACTGAAGCCCAATAATTAGAAGAAAAAGTAAGAGACTCGACCATCCACACCTGCTCAGTAACAGCCTTCCAATGGGTCACGCCCTAAACCGATGGGAGATCTGAAATGCTTAAAGGAACCATCCACGGAGATTTGTGCTCTTCCATTCCCCAATAAAAACTGCTATTTGCGACCAATAGAGATGCTATAGAAAGCTTCATATATGAAAGTTAAGATTTCGAAAAGAAACAAACGTTCGTACTACACTTGGGGACGGATGGGCGGAGCCAACGGGTCTCATGGAATGAAGGACGTGACTGGTGACGTGAATTTCGTGTCTGCGATTGCAACTGCCTATAAAAATAGACCACTCAGGAAAGTGGTAATGTAGAATACAATTCAGCCACCAGACATGTCAATCTTCCCGAGACGGCATTGTCCGCAACCACCCTCACCCAAAAAGTGTTTTAAAAGGTTTTGCTTCTTCTCCTTCGGAAACTTAATTTCCATGCATGAAACTTGTACATCGCCTGTAGTAGTACCCTTATAGAAGAAATAAAAGACCGTGAGAATTCATTAGGCGATGCCTTCAAGGACCACGAACTAACGACGCTCAAAAACAAACGCCCCGAGGTTGTACACTACCATGACCTGCACGGAACACTGCAAATTACTGAATGATCCATGAGCTTATCAAGCCGTTATACGCCTTGCGTCAGTTCGAAAGTCATATTCCAAAGAACGTTGTGAAACCCTGGAAACGAAGCAATTTTATCTGTTGGGCACAGATTAGCCAATTAGACACTGCGACAAAAACTGCTGTTGCTATAGAGCGAAACGGTAACTGCACGGCAGATTAGCTTCGATTAGTGTCTATTTCCCGAACAAACCTTTTCTGGCGAACGAACATTGTAATTGTGTTTAGATAGCGGAATAAACCTGTACTCGAAGATAAAGGATGACGCATGCAACACTGACAGCGTTCTTCTTGGTATGCGACACGTACACTACTTCCTTTGGGAATCGTAAAAGCATCTGCAACTCGAACATACACAACGCTCTGAGAGGGTGAACCAAAGTAGAGGTGAGCAGTTTCTCCTAGAAAACAAGTCTAGTACCGATTATTCGACCGGGCTTGAAGGATTAATTCGCCTGGGCGACATTTGACCCCTGAAAAACAGAGGCATTTGGCACTCAAAACCATTTCTCAAGTTACCCTTCGAAGTAACAATTTCAGAGCCTTACATCAATCCGCGAAAATTTCTTCTATGAAGTGTCAGGCACGCGGTGACGTCAAAAATCTGCCCCCTGCTTCGTTCTTTTGGCTTCACGTGGAAGGATCACAACATAATTGCGGAAAATAACATTCCGAAACCCCCTACCACGTTCACATAATGGGAAACTGCGTCGGCGACGCACCATCCAGTGTTTGTCCAGTGTGTCTCGGTACGTGGTCTTTCCTACGCAACATGTCACCTTTCATGTCTTCAGTACAACTCAACAAGTCACACATTGAAATAACTTTAGCAAAATTCGGCATACCGTAATTCGTGAAAAAAAAACGTGAAAAAGAAAAAATCATATCGCGTCTAAATGGAATGTGATGCAGGGATTAAAAGGCTGAGATCCAACTGAAAGGTAATACTAGAAAAATACCTCCATTTTGTGTATACCTCTCACCACTGTAATCTTTTCCACATGGAACAGTTGTGAAGAAAAGAAAGCAAACTGGGTGGCTGGTTTTTTCTTAAGGTAGAAATTTCCCTCCCTTTATCCCCCTGGAACAACGCAACACTGGATTCTGCATTCCTTTGTTTCCGTTTGCAATGAAAGCTATGCAGTGAAAATGACGTATGAGGTCCAAAGCGAAAAAAAGCGAGAACAAGAGCAAATTTTTCGAATTCAGTAGGACACAAGTAAAGAATGGCTCTCAGGAGAGCAAGGCATTCACAGAAGAACATATTCGGTTGCGAATCTCAACAAAATGATCTTAAAAAAACTCAAAATTAATCAACAGTCCTTTACTCGCAGTGTTATAGCATAGGACCAGACAAGTGGTAAAGCGCTGACCGCCGTCAAACAAATTGGTCTCCCAAAACGCAACGCAAGACCGCACGCAGATCTGTCTGCACTTTGGAATAGCAAAACTAGATTGAATTATGCACAAGACGTTACTTGACCCTTGGATGACTGTAAGGCCTATCCGGGGAGCAATTTGGCATGGCAAAAATCGATTTGAACTGTTGGTGAATTTGCATCTCAAACAAAAGGGACGCTTCCTGAGCACTGAAAGTGATGCGTCAGCGGCAGATATCAACGTAAGTAAAGAATGATAAGCCAAGAGAATGGAAAATTCTGCACGAGAACAATTCCAAGGAACAAGGAACATCCGGACGCAGAGGATGAAGAAAAACAGGCAGCTATTTGAAAGCACGCAGTCAATTTTCGTGCAACAACAGCCAATGTCCAACAGGCAATTCCCAGAGGTGCGTTGCGTCCATGAATTAACACCATCGCACAACAACCAGAGGTATTTGGCCGGAGCCTACCAGCACCTGATATCTTTACCCGGTGCTAAAACTGTAAACATAAGAAAGTGACAAGTCAAGCAACTGCAGGATATGCTGCTGCTTTGCTCGAGCTGACGACCTCATCGAAATTCATGAACTGACTCTCGGACTCTCGTCGAAAATATCTCGCTAAGCTCACAGCAGCACGCACTTCCAACTTTCAACATTTAATGGAAGATGTATTGAAGCGTGATGGCAATGCAACACGCGTTTATCAAGGAAACCATCTAAAAACTGAAATGTTCAAATGATAAATAAAAACAGAAACCCGCAGCGTTCCAGAAGTTTCACTTGTAAAAAGAAATCTCAGTGAATATCACTCTCTCCCAGAAGATAAAGTTAAGGTCCACATGTACACTCCCAAGAAAGGCTTGAAAGCCCATGTCGAGGATTTGGTTGTATTTTTCCAACAAAATCACCTCAGAAAGAAACCGGCAAGCAAGACTGTCATGTTATTCGCGAACTTAGTATGCAAAAGCGAAAAGAGTCAAGCGTTCTCTGTTTCGCTATTCAATAAAACTCACAAAGATGAACAACATCATCAAAGTTCGGTGAGGCAAACGAAAAAGTAACGATACAGAGTAGCTTTAGCGACCATTCTGAGAAAAAGCTGAACACTACAAAAGTAGAAATAGATTGTGGAAACAATCATAGCATTATGGGCGCAAGAAAGCCCCATTACACACGTAAACAACTTCGATTAATGTGTACCTGCCCACAATGAAATCGCTCCAACAAATGTACGCAATCATGCGTCAAGGCACACAGACGTGCGCCGCTACCGTACCCCGAAAATAAATAGCTTTTGGTAGCAGGGTGCTGCGTTTGGTCGCATTTTTAGTCTCTTTGACTGATATCTGGTAGTGATTATTGATGATGAGTATTCTGTTCAAAAGGGTTGCCACCAGTTCTGAGCGCAGTATGCCTGGGGCAGCCCTCACGAAAAAGACTACTGAGACTAAGACTAAAACCGGGGAAGCGGGAACGAATTCCGGAACACATTAAGAATAGCCTACGCTACTTGAAATCCCTCTTTCTGGGAGCTTAATCTGACAGGTAAGGGTATTTTAACTTGAACCTGACCGCAATGTTACGGGCTGCCCCCTCCCCCGCAGAGCACTGAGCCCAGTCCGGCGCTATTTTTGGAAAGACAAAAAAATCCGACGGAAGTTCAGTGCTCGAAGTGGAGGGTTTTTTCTTTGAAGTTCTGCTGAGTGGTGCTTAGTTTACCCGTGAGAGAATATAGCTAGATCTTTTTTTAAACCCTTTGTCCGAAACGCAACACTCATGTGGTCGCCTTTGAACATTTGGAAAAAGCACTGCGCACTTTGAGCGAATGACTTGCGGTGAAAGGCCGAATCCCCACACACTTGGGATTCTGATCCCCCTTAGTGCAATCGCTACATTATTGTATGCGTGTGTCACTAGAGGGAAAGGCAGATAACGATGACTGGAGAGCGGTGCGGTCTTAATGAGTCATCGAACGTCATGGTGGATTTTATCCCTCAGCGCGCTTGAGGGTTTATTTGGGACCGAGTCTTCGCGCTCTTACACCAGTGACAAATGGGGCCGTATGCTGAATGTTGGGTAGGGGACGGGGATGGGTGAACGTTGGGGAGGTTCGTCGCAGGACCCTTCTGGGCAGCTGTCGCACCTTCAATATTGCAGCTCTGTTTGTATTCTTTCATCGCTGCTTTTGGTATGAAGAAAGATATTTACGTGCGAATATACAATCAGAAACAGTAAAAGGGTGAAAACAAAGCTGCAAAATCAAAGGTGCGACAGCTGCCCAGAAGGGTCCTGCGACGAACCTCCCCAACGTTCACCCATCCCCGTCCCCTACCCAACATTCAGCATACGGCCCCAGACGGTCAAAACCCTGCATCTATCAAGGCCATCTGTGTCCGCCTTAAGGATTACTTTCAGGATCCAGCCAATATAGCTTTGGGTACTTCCTGAACACCGCAGGTGTTTCCGGGAGAGGTTGATCAGACATAGTGTATGAGTTGTTTGAAAGGCAAGTCCTGCCATTCAGAATTAGCCCTCGTAAAATCACACTCATCGGCCCCTAATGATTACAACATAGCTCCACGTTCCAATAGGTAATATTAACGCATGGCGCCCCAGACAAAAGGTGATCAAAACTCTGACTTTTTCTTCCTTCTCCACCGGCTTGGTATTGGGTTGGTAGATAGTTCATAGCGTTACGCACACGTCTTTCAATTGCAATGCCTGATTCAGGCCATATATGTACATACAACAGAGCTATTCCAAGGTTCTTGTCTACCGTCCTGTTTGTCAAGAGCTTTTCCAGGGCACGACATTTTTTCCAGCCCTCCACCTCATGACATTTAACGTGGCGTATCGCCCAAACCATTGCCATTATTTTATTTTACCCACAGAACCATATCAGAAGAGTTGAATCGTCTGTGGCCTTCCCATCCTTTAGGTAGGTGCCAGACGTTGCGATCGCTTGCCAGCGAGTCGCGCGATTCGCTGGCGATCGAGCAAGCTGAGCGATGCGCAGCAATTCCAGTGATTTCAGCAATGCGCCAACTGATTTGAGAGGAGGAGCCGAGATTAATCGCTCGAATCGCGCGATTTCCTAGCGACTGATCGCAAAGTCTAACACCTGCCTTCCGCGCAAATGCACCGACTCACTTCAACAGTTTTTGCCTTTGAGGATTAGCAGTCCCCGAAAACACGGATTTTTACCCCTGGATACACAAAGATTTTTACCCCGTGGATATCTGAACTTCCAAGTTAGAGCAGAAAAATGCTTCAAAGCAGTACAGGCCAATTTTCAGCAAGGCGAGTAGGGAACGAATTCAAACACAGAAACAAAACACCAGAAGCCTATTTACCAACCCAGACCCAGATTAGGCAGCGAAATAATACCTAGGTCTAAAATGATCATACCCTAACGTCTTGTTACCTGTTTTGGGAGAAAGATCTGGTTGGAGCCTTCGAAAAAAAGGCCCTGAACTCTAGCAGACTACAATCAAAAGTAAACAAATATGCTATGAATAACAGTATCCAAATTCGTTCTTTACTATGGTGGTTTTACCTCAATCAATAACAAACTTAACAACGAAAAACAATGAATTGCAAAGTTTTCTAATAACAAGGATTTCACTAGAATCGCTAAGAGAAAGTGATAGTAAATGTCAGCACTCGTCTTCCAACTGCTTTTCCTCCGCTACTTCTTCAGAATTCTCCTGAGGACGATCCCATCCATGCTGGTAACACGGGAAGGGCTTGGTGAACATCTCTGGTGGGAACACCACATCTGTCAGGAACAGTCCCTGCGGTGGTGCGATCCTTATCCGAAGGTCGTAAAAGTTTGAGCTGATCGGATTCCTCAGCAACCAACGAATCGTTTCGAGCGGTAGACGATCGTAGCCGTGAAAAACCACGCAGGACATCATGCGCCGGATCTGAAACGAAGTCATTTAGCACTCTGCGAATGGCCCAAAATGGCGTCGACGTCGTCGCCGAAAAAAATCCGCCGCGCTAACGAAACCCATTTACTCGAAGGAACCCTCGTTGACCTCCATCGCTCGGGATGGCAATGCAAGTCTCGTCATTCGCCAAGGACGAACCGATACGATTAGGATACGACATTCTTGAGTGGTGAAAAATCTATTCTTATGCTGTGGATCTCAAACTCAAAGGCAGATGCCCCGAGATCAAATGTGGGTTTTGCACACGAAATGAAGGCATAGGGGTGATGTAATCCAGCACCAAATGAAAAGGAAAGAATCCGTCAAAGCATCAAAGATAGGAGCTTAATAAGTCATTCGATTCAGCTATGCTAAGGCAATAAGAAACTGAGCCAATACAGAGAGGACAAGCGAGAGAGCTGAAAGAATGAGAGAGCGCCAGACAACAGTAAGCAGGGGACTAAAAAAATTGAAGCGACTGAAGCGGTTTTTGCAAGAAGCTAGCGATCTTGTCACGCGATTTCATACACGGGAGTGCTACATCCGTTATTGCCCTCTGGGGGTCTATCCTACAGACCCAGAGACATCATTCAAACAGCTCTTGCCTGGATTATCCCTTTGAAGGTTGAAGGCCTTACCATAGGAAGACCACAGGATTTTTTAGATCTGGTTTACGACCGTGAATATCAGTTTTCTCCAGAGCTTTTCGAGTCCAGACGTTTTTAGTTGACATAATTGACCTAGCGCGGCAGTACAGTCCAAGCTTGAATCCAAGACATTTCCAGCTGCAAAATCGATCCCATAAATCCTATCCTGAGCAAATAATAAATAACATTTAGGGCACTGGGGTAGGTGTTTTAGCCTCCGTCTTGAATGCGCTAAATTGACAGTTGCAAGGCGCACAAACTCGGAAAACGAGTCCCACATTGTGAACCTTGGGTAGTGTGCAATTTTACGGGTGATGGGTGAGTCACTATTCACACACAGGAAAAGCGCAAGGACTGGCATAATTATCGGTCGTAAACGGAATTGTGCGCAGTGGAAAACCGATCACTCTTCATGATAATTGGAATTCATCGAACGAATCAAAAGTTTCTCAAATCGGTTTATCAACCATTATCCCGGACAAGATCATATGATTATTTATTACTGTGCTTGTTTGTGAATTGCTGAGGAAGGGCTCAAGAACAAGACCGTCGCCATATGGCTTAGCACTTTCAATTTAACTAAACAATAAACTAGTGAAAAGGCGACAGAAGTGATTCCTCTTTGTTAAGGTCCATATGAATCAGGGCTGGGCCTTCCTCCTGCTGACTCATCCGATTCTGTTCACATTTATTTTTCCGAATAAAATTGGTTTGAACCGGCTCGCCAGTGCAGATCATCAATAATCCCACAATAGTGGTGGTATTACCTTTCCAAACTGACAATGACGCTGCAGGTCTCCCATTTTGTGGTTGCAATGCAGGTCGCGCATTGGAGCGATAAACACAATTCACTCTTTGGAGTTGATGGAACTGTCTCAGACATTGCGGTCAACCCCATTTAGAGCCATCTTCGGACAATCGGATGAAGCGCAAGTGCTTTCAAGGAGAAAAGCATTAGATTTGAGCGCTTCGATTCACAAGAAAAAAGCCAAGAGTAAGCTTATTACTAGAAAAGCAGCATGGTAACTACCGGCTGTTACAAGTACGATGACCCATGCCTGTCAGTCATGTGGACTATGAAAAAAAAAACGCTAGTTTTGCAAAGGAATTACCTGAGCGTTCAAGAATCAGTCAAGATGCCTCAACAAACATGCAAGCTAACTTGCGAAAAGAGCTCTATATCTATAAGCCAAAAAATTATTGGGTTTGTAAATGGTGACCTTACCTGCTCTCTGACAAATGAACCTCGAAACAATCGTAACGTTATAGTAGTCGTAGATGTCGTTCGGAATAGAAATATGCTCGCCTGAAACACGAGAGAACGATTGAATTTCCTTCACGGACATGGCTACTTTGATGTTCCCACGGTCGAGTGCCCTGCTAAACAATAGCCGTCTCAATCCTCGCTAATATTTTACCGCCTACTTTTGAGGCTATGAGCGATGCCCGGCAACAGCGACATGGGCGAACGCGAGATCTCACACTGTGTCCGCATCAGCTTACTCGCCCTTGAACCTTAGCCCATTCGCGCGTTTTACACACAAATCTTCTGGTATCCAATCTCACAAGTCTGATGCGCCTTACTTGTTTCGGCACTAGTGATTGTTTTTTCCCAACTAGCTGAACAATGATAGATTTTTAGCAACTGGTTTCCACAATCTTTTGTCATGTCGAAATCGCACCTTTCAAGCAACGACTTCAAATATTTTCTGCCAGTCCAAGACTCCTCCTATACTACAGCAGGGGCAGTTTGGTAACACATCATTTGTGAAAATCACAGGTTTGCCGGGGTGAGTAGTCAATTAACCCTCACCCTGACTGCTGCCGAGTAATGACTCGAAGTCGAGCATTGAACCTATGAGGTATGATGGGCCCTACTTTCTAGAGCTGCCTCATGCCATGTGCAGGACGTTGCAAACACTTGTTTCATGGGCAATACCTTCAGAAGAAGCCAGGACATTATTCTCATCTGCGTAATTTTTGCTCTGAACTCTAATTACACATTCACGCCGGCGGCAGCCCATACAGGCTGCCTGATCGCCTACCAACCTTTTGTCGCAATTTTTTTTTACATATTTTTGATATCAGAATGATTAACGCCTTATAGATTACTGAAATTACCTTGTGGTATTCATGGTTCATTTATTACATAAAATCCATGAATATAAAAGTGTGGCGGCGGCAAAATTGCGGTCGTCCCACGTCCCAAAGCAAAAAAGGCTGTTTTAAATGTGTTAAAAGCAGACATTTATTGCCAGTATTGTAGAATCTTTACTCACCTCGTGAAATCTGACAGAGCAGTATATTCCGCAAGGTACTTCTGGGGTACGGCTCCTTTCGTTTATCACGGGCTGTATGCTTGAAGAACGAGCCCATCACATGTTCGCCTAAAGCATGATTATTCGGTCCGAAAGACAACGTCATACTGAAAACCACGAGATTCAAGGTTTTGCTTCGCCGCTATCGATTTTCAGAGACAAAGCATCCCGCCGGCGTTCGAAATAACCTAATTTATGCAACGAAAATGAGCTTAGGGGCGCTCATGCGATAGCTCTGCGCAGGAACCTCCCGAAAACCATTATCACTAGAACATCAACATAGAACATCGGTCGCCCATCACACGTTAGTTAACACACCTTCGAAGAATTTGCAGGCATCTGATGCCTTTTCTGGTGAAAATCCAGGAGGTAACCGCCAAGCGTAGTCTTTTTCTGAGGAACAAACTCTGGACGGAGATTCTCGAATGGACTCCCACAGATCCCAATCACGACACACCGCGATCCGATAGGTGTATCTCCTGGAAAGTTTCAGTGAGACAGAACTTTAATACAAAGAAATAGCTAAGAGTAAGATCTACAGTAAGATGAAGCAGGCTGCAGTACCACTCAAGGCGTCTACAACAAACTAGTAGAGCGTTTAGGCCTCTCGTTATAACTGATTAGACTACATTATCGGCATGCTATAGTTTTAAGGAAGGCTATGTATAAGAATATATGCTATGTATAGGAAGCGGATGCATTCAGTCGTATGCAGCCAATTTAACTGCACGGACACTTCACAGCGCACTCTCTCACAGCTTTTACCACAGTTTATACTACAAAAAGGCCATCCACGCAGAACAAATACCATTTTAAATGAGATGTATCCTATTTACTATGAAGCGCTCCGTCTGCCTGTATCCCTAGTTACTGGGGATCCGCCAGGAGAGACCGGGAGAGACCTGGGTGGAGCATATCGCGAGACAAACACACATAGGCTAGGCGGGAACCCGCCCCACTAGTGGGCGTACGTTCATTACGAAATGAGCTGTACTGAGGGCCAAGATTTCAAATTGCATTCCAAAAGGGTCTAGAGAGAGGGCAAAAGTGGGTAAAGGTGAGTCTCCCTAATTCGATCTGGCTTATCAGTGGTTTTCCACTGATAAGCCAGATCGAATTAGGGAGACTCAACTTTCGGTGGGCAGTGGCTTCTCCCAAAAGCCATGCCTGTGAGAAAAGTCCCAAACTCGGTTTTGGAGACGGTTTTACAGAGTAGAAAAAAAGTTGGTGTACGGGAGGCGAACGAACTAAAAGTCCGTAGCATACATGAAATGGGCAACTGCATCGCCGCCTCCCCGAATGGCCGGAGCAATACCCTGAATGAACAGCGTTTCTGCAAATTCCTCTGATTCGGTTCCGAGAGGTCTTGGAGAACGAGAAAAAAAAACGACAGTGGTTAGAGAAGGGGGAGGCTAATTGTTATTGGTGGCCAAAGTTGGCGAAGTTTACTAACAAACTTATAACTTGGTTCCAAGAAATCATGGAGATCGGGGGAAATGGCTATAGAGTTCGACTGCGGAAGAGAGGTAAACATCTATAGGCGGGTGGGGCGTGAGCCAAATATGAGGGGGGGGGGTTATCCAAGAAAAACATCTATAAATTGGTCCAAGAAGTCCTGGAGACCAGATCACGCGTGTGGTGGGTGGAGTTTTTTGTCAGACTTACCCGGTTTGAGAAAGTTCCAGAGATCAAAAAAAGAGAGCTAAGGAAGGAAGCGTGTTTCTTTGGCGTGTGAGCATACACCTAAAACGGGATTTGCCACCAAACAAATGAATCGGCTCAAGGACAGTTCAGAGACCGAAGAAAAGTGGGAAGAGGTTGGCGAGAAAGAAAAAGGTGGGTGGGACATGCAACGAAGTAGGTGGAGTTTTACCACGAGTTTTATAAAGCGGTGCGAGGGGAGGCAGTGCGGAAACCGGGAAATACCGGACTATGATTGACAAAGGAGGGAAGGTCAAAAGCCATCTGTGGAAGCCGAGCGCTGGACAATGCGGATCGAATCTTTAAAGCTCAAAATATTCGCGTGTATCGGGCCAAGTTTGAAATTCCGTACTGCATTCCGTATCGCCCTGCGGAATGATTCCCTGAAAGAAGTTAAGCAGGGAAGCGCAAAGTGACACGAACTCACAGGCAAGAGGTCATGGGATCGACTCCATTAGTACTTTGCTTTTTCAAGAACACGATAGAGGCCTTTCTAGCTGTATTTCTGAAAAGCGCAAAAGTACGGATGGCACTGAAGCCGAGCCTGAGAGTCACCGTTCCGCTGTCCTACTTCATAATCTCTTTCAAAGAATTCCTCCGCAGATAATGTGCACATTTGAACTCAGCGTCTCGAGGCACGTTCACAAGTACACTTCTCATTTTAAAAAACCGGAATGAATTGGCCTTCCCTCAGGCGGGGCCAGGCTTTAGTCACTCAAGCAACTGCCCTAACCGCCGCCCAAAGTCACTGGTGTACGGTCATTGCCTGTGTAGAAAATGATGTCGAAGATGGCCTTCACTGGGAAGAGCTTTTCAGAAAACTTCATTTAATAGCCTTCTACAGCTCATGACCAAGCCAAAAACCAGAGGTCAGGATAGGGCAATAAATACCAGGAAAAGATTAAATCTATTACTGATTACACTGTTTATTTTTTGCACATGAAAGTCAACAACTTGGTTCCCTGATAAGGTAATTGGAGAAACCTATCTACAGCTCACCTTGAGTCACACCCTCAATGTTGTGCTCGGACAAATGGTCCCACTCAGTGCAAAAAGCAGCTAAAAAGCGAACCTGTATGCGACATGCCTTCGAATGCAGAACCCAGCTGCAACACTATTCAGACCCAGCACTTTCATAGATCCTAAATTTCCCAGCTGAGTGGACGGAATAGCGAGAAACGAAAAACTGCACGGTCTCTAACCTGGTGAAAATTCGTCGATAGCACTATTCCACATTCTAATATGCCGATTTTTAGTCTCTAAGCTAGAATCCAAAGTCGCATATTCAACCGGAACTTGGCATATCACCGCGTTGCGAAGAGCATGGACACCGGCATCTGTTCTAAGTAGTGTAATCACTAATTGAAAAAGGCAGCGATGCACAGAATCACACATCACTTTTTCTGCACTGAGGAAATTCAACATATCAAAAAATTCAAAATACAAAAACCAATACAAATACATGCTTCTACGGTTGCATATTTCCCTGGAAAAAAATCATCAGTACCTGCTGCTAGGAGCAATCCTCAATGCTTCACGAAGAGGATGTGCATGCGGCCTCATACCGAATAAAGAGTCGGAGATCGCCTGAAATGTAAACCATCGTTGTGCCTTCTTCGTTATTTTGAAACAAGTACGCTTCATAGCGAAAGTACCTACACCTAAGTCGCGTCAAACTACAGGAGTGTGACTAAATTGCACTCGAATATGCTTGATCAAACTTGAAAGCATCCAATGATCCTCCTTATCCCAATGGATAGCGAATGAGTAAAACATACAACTACCCTGTTGACCCTCTCCCTGATTTAAAGAAGACACTTGCATTTGAACACTCTTTCGCTTCCAATACAACTTACAACTTCTAAGGGACCCCGAAGTCACAATTGGCGATGAGACCATGTGGATCAATTCTGTGAGTAGATAGAGCTACGCTCAGATGGGCCGTTCCGCGAGCTGCGAGAGGGCGTGAAAGGGCGTAGGGCCTGGCCATTATCGTGATAGGAACTAAAAGCGTTGCTTGCGATGATTGACGCATCAGTGTGTCTGCGTCCCGCACTACCGCCATGCTCCTTCTTCTCCAGTACATCCCCTCACCTCGAAGCACCTAGCTCTGTTTGAAAGATGAATGAACTAACAATTATTCGATATTTACATTAATGGAGGAGAGAAAAGAAGCTTAATTGTGCATTGAGGATCCTTCCTTACCTGATACAGCATGTCCACCACACCGAAGCCACTCCCACCTGTCGCCATTTCGGGGAATCGAGATCCATCGTAACTTATAGGCAGAATAACGACAAGTTAGGTGAACAGATTCAGCATTTGAATTTGTAACCTACCTAATGAACATCAAATATCGTCGTACCGCCGGATTACCCAACCAGGCGAGGAACAGAGGCCATGAGATCCGTTGCAATTGAGAATTTAAAGGCTTCTCTCTGCGCTGCAGCACTTTCAGGTGAGCTAAAAGTGAAAGTGAATGGAGCCATTCGCATTCCTTTTATAGGATCGCTGGGGCACAACAGTGTTCGGATGCTCTGGAGCGACCCATTCTCTAGTAAAAAGGTTGGAAAACCTCGACCGAAAAGAGATTGATGTGAAATTTGACTTTCATTCCGTAATCAACAAGAAAAAACTACTATTTTTACAATCAAATAACTGTACAATACAATAATAATACTATGCGACATATTGATACAAATTTGGATCTTCGTCGCATCTTCTCAAATAATCTCTTTCCATAAGCGAGCCTATTCGTTTCTTCAAATCGGCTGCTCGAACCGGGAATCTGCAAAAAGAATGCAATCAATGAGAAAACACTGTGCACATGTCAAACTTTCGCGATCAATCGATAACAAATCGCGTGATTCGCTAGCGATTGAGGGTGTACGAGCGATGTGCAACGATTCCAGCGATTTCAGTGGTGCGCAAGCGATAATCGCTGTACATCACAGAGTTGTTCGAAACGCTAAGCGAACGGTCACAAAGTCTGACACTGACTATAACCGCTATCAGCGGAAAAGTCAACAAAGACGTTCAACAAATTCCTACCTTAGCTGTGCAAATAACTCTGAGATCAGCAGCTGATGATTGAGCTTTTTGCGTGTCTTCATCACACGAACGATTGCTGCATCTATTTGATATTGCCGATCTTGATTGACCTCCTCTTCAACGGCTTTGTATTCTTCTTCCTAAAAATACTTCATGAGACCCTATTGAAGGTTAAGAGCCAACCGTGGTTCGTTCCATACTAACCGTTTCCTTCATTTGAACTTCAGAAATTCGAATTCTGAACCGCATTTCTTTTATGTCCGTGTTCACCGTAAACACGTCGTCATCCTTGATCTGTGTAAATGCAAAAATGAGGGCAGAATTTCGAAAGAAAAAGAGTAAAGATGATTCTTTGAAAGCAGAGTGGAGCAGGCAATCAGCAGGATTACATTTCAAAAGAACGGTAAACAATCAATCAATGTATGACGACTATATCAGCCTACCTCCTTATTCATGGGATTTTTGAGGAGAACGCGAATTTTAGCCACGGAAAGCGAAACCATTGTACGGACAAACTCTTTCTGCTCTGAAAAGAGAGCATTGCAATAGCGTACAAAAATTACCGTTCAAACGCGAAGATATACCCACCAAGTTTGGTTGCCATCATGATATCTGCAGCGGTCCACGATGGTTGATCGTTGAAGAGTAACAAAACAATCGCTTGGAACAACGACACCTTCAATTCTTTTTGGCACTGAAAGAAAGCCGATCTCTTGGTAGTAGGAAAAACCTATGTTTAAAACAAGAAACTAGTTGTTAACAAACCCCTTTTCGGAAATTGGCTTTCAAAACACATTGCCCCAGTCGTGGTTGCCACTGAAGTTTACGACCAGTGTGCCGCGAGTCATAGAACTTTTCGTAAAGCTGCAGAGATGAGCTCAAATGATGAGGAAGGGTAACCTGCAACGTTTATAGGACTCATTGAATGTTTAGGAAAAGAAGACACCCGAAATCGATTTTTATCGTTAATTGCTGTTTACTGCCGCAGTTTGCGTTTAGAATATTCACAAGAACACTGAGTTATGGGCGTGACTTTCGCCCCACGCAGGGATTGAACCCGCACCTTTAGGCTTCAAGATTCCCGGGTGGATGTTCCATTCCGCTCTCGCTTTTACACCCACCCTAGAAATTCCTTCCCTGCAAAAAAGGATTAATTCTAATCGATGTGAACTGTCGCTCCACATGCCCCTTCCCCTCACTAGATGAGACCCTATAAAGAAGACTAGAAATCTGGGAATCAAGGTTCTCCTCTGATAAGGAATTAAAGCCATCTAGAGTACGCGCTACAAATAGAAACCAGGAAGCGCGACGTTCGAAGAATACGGTAGAAGGAGACATTACGTGAAGTGAGGCAGGATACCTGCTCTTATCAGCAGGATTAGGTGGAGAATTATCAAAAGAGATGCTGAACAGTGGGCAAAACATTTCGCCCCATGCCGGAATCGAACCCGCACCTTCCATTTTTTTCAAAAAGTTCACATTTCAAATTTTTAAAACGCTTCGAGAATAAAGGCGACTGATATAAGATAGACCGGACGTCACACCGCGACGACAAGCGATGGAGGCAATCGCAGATCGCTCCATGCTATGTCCGGTCGCCGAGTGCGACGTTCGAGTCTAAGAAATAGCTTCATTTCAGCTGAGGAAAGTGCTATCTACTAATTCTTGCACAATTGTGCGAAAAATATGCTATTTGCGACAATAGGTATGCTTGCGGTCATGGCACTCTTATAGCTGCGTGAATGAAGCCTCAGTAAACAACCCTTGGTGTATGCTCTATTCCTTGGAGAAAACGTGCTGTTGGACATTGAAAGCTTGTATAATTTCAGAGTGCAACGCGATCTTCGACCAGCTCAGCAGAATCGTATAACTTCGTATAAAACAGTAGATAGACTCTAAGCGTTTCGGAAACGTTCAGACATAAAACACTGAAAACAGCCTTAAAAGTGAGCATAGATGAAAGATACAGGAAGAACATGCTCTCACAATATTTGAAGGTGAGCCTGCAATACAGAAAAGAACACCGAAAGAGCGAGCTCAATGAGAAGGCCAAAACAATCGAAAGCAGGAAAATAGTGGGGATTTCCGCCAGTTTTGGGAAAGGTTTGAAACACAGCGCAACAAATTTTGAGGGTGCAATATATAGAGCCTTCTATACGAAATAGATAATTCGATGAAGTTTCAGATAAAAATGCCATTACAAACCGAATCGCTCCATTAACGGGAGTCGTCGCCATTTATTTGGTGGGCACCTATTCCAATGGTTTTTAATGCTAAAGATCATTCCACCGTACCTGAATGTTGTCGTATGCCGGCCACTGGCCCATCGTTAACACGTTCACGCTGCACTCGACGCATTCATCAAACCGTCCTAATGAGCTCTCAGTGGAATTACTGCAATTATGGTTCCTATCATAAGCAGGACGAGATGATGTGCATCATTCAGATGATTATCAATGAGAAGACTGAGAGCCCTTATGAAAGATAACTGAACGGCCCGATTCCATCTCACACAGTTAGTAGCATGTTCCTGACTCATTCTTAGGGAGCGACTTGAACGACATTCAAAAAAAAACCAAATCAGTACGATAACGGACATTTCTGAACGCAACTCCCAAGATCTTTGACAGGCTCCATATCTCGAAACATTCCCTCGAGTTTTTGGGTGAAACCAGCGCCACACTCTGTAATTACAATACTTCGATCACCAATCAACTTCAAAACTTCACTGCAAACAGAGAACTTGTGGAGCAAACCCATTGGCGGCAACCACAACGGCATTTTCTTGAAACTATGCAGCCTACGGATGAGAAACAAAAACGCAAAAACCTTGTCTGAGCTTATCTCCCCCAAAAAAAAACAAATGGGGGGAATCCCTTTTTTTTCCAGCATCAACACTCGCACTTCGACCGAGTAGTAACCGCTTAGCTAGATCCTTCTTGTAGAATACCTCGAATACGTCCTTCCCTGAAAACTTGCTGATAAGTGCCCATAAGACTTGAAAAGCTAAAAACTGGACCTCTATTACAAGCAAAAAAATTGAGAGAAGCTGAAAAGTGAATTTCAGAGCAACTGTCCGGAAACCTTTGTCCCCACTCTAATACATTTCAAACTCCCGCGACAGCGTGTCCTGCTAGCACTAACCTTGTATGAAACGGAACAACGTGATCACTTTGTTCATCAGCAGATCTAACTGCTCATCAGAGGCCTCCTTATTCGCGCTACGTAGCCTTGCATCCATGAACTTGGCTGTAATTGAAAAAATAGATGAGCAAATTCAAGGAAATGCCAATTGCAAGGAAATCTCACGCTCACCGATTAATTCAGCCGGCTTATTTCCGCGGGTATTAATGAAATAATCGAAAGCGTCCTTCTCCGCCTGTGCGAATTTCATCTTGTCTTCAGTGGAACCAAAGCAAGTTTCAACTAAAATTTAATTAATTAAGCCAGGGTAATAAAATCGGTGACGAATCGAACTGACCAAAAACATCCAGTTTATCTTTGAAAGTCATCAAGTCCTCGACCATGGTTGGATCTCGTTGAGGATCCATGATCATAGTTTTACCAACTTTCTGAAAAAAATGTCGATGTAGGAGGATTATTTCATTTATGTAAGCCATATCTTGCCTTAATGTATGAAGAAAATCCTGTCTTGAGCAGAGGAATCCCTCCATCGACCCGAGTGAGGAGAGAATATAGCCGTGACACATCGCTCACACGATTATCATTCAGTAACAAAGAGAGGCCTAAAAATGACAACAATAAGAACTTAGTGAACTAAGAAGAACAGCCTCAACAGACTTACCATTGTCCACAACTTCCTGCATGTGATCGCTTATGAGGCATTTTTCAGCTCTCGTCAGCAGAGGTGTTCGAGTGCTCTCGTCAAGGTAGAGATCGACTCGCTCGTTTTCTTCTTTGATTCGGCGCTCAACGTGCAACAAAAAGTCCACTGTCTGAAATGTCAACGGTCTGCTGAGTTTTACCGTCGTACTGCCTTCTCTGTACTTGCTTCAAACGATGACTTTATTTTTGAAAATATAAAACTACCTCAAATCATAGAAATAAAACTTCAATGCCCGGAATTAAGCATCGCCTCTGTTCATCTGAGACCCGCTCTTAGGTGAATTCAAAGCTAGGGAAACCTTCCATGAAAGCATTTGCCCTCTTCTTAGGATGCAGGTTCTTAAATTCCGACAAACTAGTTAACTGCGTGAGCTTGCAAGCTTACAAAATTCACAGGGTAACTTCAGGTCAAAACCACATACCTCGAGAGACCGCACCAGCGACATACTTTCGTGGGTATAATGCAGAGTCGTGCTCGAAAGAAACTCGTCCTCAAAAGCCTGCAAAGATGAAACATCATGAAAATAAGCGCTGCGCACAAAAAACAAACGCAAAGTTAGAAAATGCAGTGGAGTCTATCAGTACGATAACGGACATTTCTGAACGCAACTCCAAGATCCTTTGACAGCTCCATATCTCGAAACATTCCCTCAAGTTTTTGGGTGAAACCAGCGCCACACTCTGTAATCACAATACTTCGATCACCAATCAAGTTCAAAACTTCACTGCAAACAGAGAACTTGTGGAGCAAACCCATTGGCGGCAACCACAACGGCATTTTCTTGAAACTATGCAGCCTACGGATGAGAAAAAACGACAAACCTTGTCTGAGCTTACTCAACATGATCTTTTCAGCATCAACACTCGCACTTCGACCGAGTAGTAACCGCTTAGCTAGATCCTTCTTGTAGAATACCTCGAATACGTCCTTCCCTGAAAACTTGCTGATAAGTGCCCATAAGACTTGAAAAGCTAAAAAACTGCAAGTGGACGTCTATTACAACCAAAAAAAAAAATTGAGAGAAGCTGAAAAGTGAATTTCAGAGCAACTGTCCGAAAACCTTTGTCCCCACTC